AATTTTACTGTCCAGTTTTGGAGAATCCAACAGATCAGATGGAAAAACCCAACCAAAACACTGGAAAACCTTGGGAAAATGCTCTTTAATTCCCTTTTATTCCTTTGTGTGTAAGGAAAGAAAAAAGAAGCACAAAATCATCCAGGTCACATCTGAAAAATAGAAATATTTTTCTATTCTATTTCTATTTTTCTGAAATAGAAAAATTGAAATATTCTTATAAAATATAGCCAAGAGACTGACAGATGAATAAAACCCTTTATTATTTATATTTATTTTTTGTACCTTTCCATTTATTCCAGAAAGAATTCTCTTTTTATATATATATATATATATATATATATATATAATTCATTACTTCTTTCGGAACAAATCCGTTTGTACAGCACTAGTTAAATACATTTATTTTCGGTTTTCTGCCGCCAGGGAACGTTCACAGCCTGGGGATCCATCCTGGCCCCTTCCATCGATTTTTCCTGCTGCAGGAAGGCAACGAGGAAATGTTGATCTTTTAATTGTTTGTGCTCAGACACGGCTCACAGGGACACCCCAAATCCAATTTTACCCCATTTGAGCGCACAGATGTGCAGCACAGCTGGAGCAGCTGCAGATCAGCTGGAAAAACCCAAACAAAACATTGGAAAACCTGAGGAAAATGCTCTTTAACTCCACTTTTTTTCACCTTGTGTGCGAGGAAGACGGGGGAAAATGTGTTTATTTTGTCCTGAATCTCCAAAATCCAAGGGAATTTTGTTGTTTGGATTCTCCACATGGATCAGGAAAGGCAGATCCATGTGGGAATGGAGGGATGGGGTGGAATTTACAGCTCTGCCTCCAAGTGTTGTTGTTGTTGTTGTTGTTGTCATCGTCCCAAACCCTGACCTCTCTCTGCACATTGATTTCATTCTATTCCTTCACCCAACCATCAGCTGGCGAGACAAAAGAATCCCAGGAACAGAGTTTTTCCTGAGGGAACAGCCAAAAATTCTGCTTTTTAGTCAAAAAAAAAAAAAAAAAAAAAAAAAAAAATTTAAAAAAAAAAAAAAAAAAAAAAAAAAAAAAGGGAAAAAATTCCAAGAAAAACGAGTGCAAGACAAAGCAACGGCTGCCTCGACGTGGTGGATGGGAGGGGAAAAAATGAAGGGAAAAAATGCTGGAAAGCCACGGAAATTCCCAACATTTTCATGAAAATCCCAATTGGTGCTCCAAAACCTGGGAAATCCTGCCCAGGGATGAGACAAGAACGGGATTTTTTTAATGGATGAGGCATCCAGGAGGTTTTTCTCCCCCTAAACTCAGCCTTAAAGGGCTGGAATTTTATCCCAGAGGTGGAAAAGAGGGATTAAAGTTTGGGATTTAATCCCTGCCAGCCTCCAGCTGGGTTTTTTCCAGCTGTGGAGATCAGAGCTTGACCTGGCACCAAATATTTACACTCCAAGTGGGAATCAAATATCCACAAAATCCCTGGGATAAAAAGGGTTACCTGGAACTGGGGTTGTTGGGAGCTAATCAGTAACGAGGGGATTGGAACCCTCTGGAATTCTCTGGAATGATGTAAAGTTGGGGAGTTCTGAGGGGGAAAAAAATCCCAGACATTCTGGCAAAAATTCCTTGGAAAAGCTGGAATTCTAAAGAAAGGAATGTTCCACTCCATAAAAAAAAGTTTAGGAGGGAAGAAATTCCTGTTTTTCCCGGGTGTTGGGCATTGGCAAATGTTGGGAATTCTCTCACAAGGTCGAAACCCTAACCCCTTCCCCTTTTTGGGGGATTTTTAGGGAAAAGGGCGTGCAAGGATAAATAGGAGCCAGCAGGGCTTTCCCTGATCCTGGGAATGCTGGCCTGGCTCCAGTCCCAGGAGTTTGCCTTGACCTTCAGCAGGAATATTGGATTTGGATCTGAAAATCTCCCCGTGGGAATGTGGCACGGCTCCCCTGGAAGTTTATTCCCACTCCCAGAGTGTGGGAATGGGAAAAACGAGCAGGAAAAGTGCACAAAGAGAGCTCAGGGATATCCTGGATGGTGCCGGGGGGGTTCCTGCCCTGATCCAGGCTCTGGGAACAGCAGAATTCCTCAGCCCAGGTGCCTGAAGGAGCCGTGTCCGAGTCCTGCCCGCTGAGCTCCCGGCAGGAGCCCTGGGAAGGGCAACCCTGATGCCAAGGAAATTCCTCTGTGGAGGAAAGGTGGCACTGGGGGAGCTCAGCCTGGCTCCAGCTGCAGGGGGGAACCAGGAAAAGAGGGAACCAGGAAAAGAGGGAAACGGGAAAAGAGGGAACCAGGAGGGACCAGGAAAAGAGGGAATGAGGAGGGATCAGGAAAGGAGGGAATGAGGAGGGAACCAGGAAAAGAGGGAAACAGGAAAAGAGGGAACCAGGAGAGATCAGGAAGATGGAAACAGGAGGGACCAGGAGGGATCAGGAAAGGAGGGAATGAGGAGGGAACCAGGAAAAGAGGGAAACAGGAAAAGAGGGAACCAGGAGAGATCAGGAAGAGGGAAACAGGAGGGACCAGGAGGGATCAGGAAAGGAGGGAATGAGGAGAGAAACAAGAAAGGAGGGAATGAGGAGGGATCAGGAAAAGAGAACCAGGAGGGATCGGGAAAAGAGGGAATGAGAAGGGACCAGGAAAAGAAGGAACCAAGAGGGACCAGGAAAAGAGGGAATGAGGAGGGAACCAGGAAAAGAGAACCAGGAGGGATCAGGAAAAGAGGGAACTGAGGGGATCAGGAAAAGAAGGAACCAGAAGGGACCAGGAGGACCCAGGAGAGATCAGGAGAGATTGGGAAAAGAAGGAACCAGGAGGGGTCAGGAAAAGAGAACCAGGAGGGGTCAGGGAAAGAAGGAACCGGGAGGGACCAGGAGGGATCAGGAAAACACGGCCCCAGATGCGTCACTGGGGGCTGTTCCTGCTCTTCCCCATCCACTGGAATCAATTAGGGAACAATTTGGGCTGGAAATAGCGGGAAGGAACGGAGCAGGGCTGGGCAAACCTCAAGCAATGCAGACGTCTGGAGACTCGTCTGGGACAGAGCTCTGGTGGCACCGGGACGCTCCCGGGGAGCTCCGAGCGCTGGCACCAGGAACCCCGGGGAGCTCCAGACTCTCCTCATTTCCCCTCCCACTGCTCATTTTCCAAGGATTGCCGGAGGAATGACTCCATGCCCCAGGAGGGAACAGCCCCACAGAGAGCTGGAGCCCGGAGCAAAGTTCCAGTCCTGGTCCCGGGTGCCATTCCCAGTCTCGGGTGCCATTCCCAGTCCTGGGTGCCATTCCCAGTCTCGGGTGCCATTCCCAGTCCCGGGTGCCATTCCCAGTTTCAAGTGCTGGTCCCAGTCTCGGGTGCCAGTCCCAGGTGCCAGTCCCAGTCCCAGGTGCCAGTCCCAGTCCTGGGTGCCATTCCCAGTCCAGGTGTCATTCCCAGTCCCAGTCCTGGGTGCCATTCCCAGTCCCAGGTGCCATTCCCAGTCCCGGGTGCCATTCCCAGTCCCAGGTGTCATTCCCAGTCCTGGATGCTGGTCCTGGGTGCCATTCCCAGTCCCAGTCCCAGGTGCCATTCCCAGTCCCGGGTGCCAGTCCCGGGTGCCAGTCCCAGCTCCAGGATTCCCGGGTGCCACATCCATAGGGAGCAGATCCTCCAGGAGAGGCGAGGCCAGGGTGTGGGCACGGCAGGGCAGAGAGGCTCCATGCCCCGCTCGCACCCTGGCAGGCTGGGGCAGAGGTGCAGCAGGGATGGATTTATCCCCGAAGTGTCTGCAGAGGGAAAACCCCCTGGAGCAGCAGCAAAGCCCTGAGAGCACCGACCCGCTCTGCCCTGGGCACGGAGGGGTTTGGGGGGGCTGCGCTGCTCCCCGGGGATGTCCTGGTGCCCACACTGAGCTGGGGGAGGTTGGCACCTCTGTCCCTTCCCTCCAGGTGAGCGTGAGCAGCGCAGCGGGGTCGGGGTGGTGCCATGGGGAGGGGATCAGAGCCCTGCCAGGGGCAGATGTGCCCTGAGAGACCTCCGGGATGCCCTCCTGCTCCCTGGGGCTGTGGGGATGGGGAAGGGGCTGCTCCATCCATCATCCATCCATCCATCATCCATCCAGCATCCATCATCCATCCATCCATCATCCATCCAGCATCCATCATCCATCCATCCATTCATCATCCATCATCCATCCATCTATCCATCCATCCATCATCCATCCTCCATCCATCCATCATCCATCCATCATCGATCATCCATCCATCCATCATCCATCCATCCATCATCCATCCATCCATCCATCATCCATCATCCATCCATCATCCATCCATCCATCATCCATCCATCCATCCATCATCAATCATCCATCCATCATCCATCCATCCATCATCCATCCATCCATCCATCCATCCATCTATCCATCCATCCATCATCCATCCTCCATCCATCCATCCATTCAGCATCCATCATCCATCCATCCATCCATCATCCATCCATCCATCATCCATCCATCCATCCATCCATCCATCATCCATCATCCATCCATCCANATCCATCCATCCATCCATCCATCCATCATCCATCATCCATCCATCCATCATCCATCCATCCATCATCCATCATCCATCCATCATCCATCCATCCATCATCCATCCATCCATCCATCATCCATCCATCATCCATCCATCATCCATCCATCCATCCATCCATCATCCATCCATCCATCCATCATCAATCATCCATCCATCATCCATCCATCCATCATCCATCCATCCATCCATCCATCATCCATCCATCCATCCATCCATCATCCATCCATCCATCCATCATCCATCCATCATCCATCCATCCATCCATCATCCATCCATCCATCCATCATCCATCATCCATCATCCATCATCCATCCATCCACTGCTCCCAGGTGCTCCCAGCTGTGCCCAGCTGTGCCCCAGGTGTTTCCAGGTGCTCCCAGTGCCAGGCCAGGCTGTGCCCAGCAGTCCTAACGTGTTCTCCCCAAAAACCAGGGGGTGCAGAGCAGCTGGTCTCAGCAAAGTTGCATTTCCAGCAGCTCCTGCCCGGCCAAACCCCCCAAATCCCCACCCGGAGCCCCCAGACCCTCCCGGGGCAGCACAGGGGCCGGCAGCTCCTCCCTGGAGCACCTCTCGGTGGGGACAACACCAAAACAAGGAGGGGACAAGGCCACAGGTCCATGGAGGGCATCTCCCGGGGGTTCGGGTCCTGCTGGAGCCGGGAATTCTGCCGAGGGTCGGGTGGGAGCCGCTCCTTTCCCAGCGCTTCCATCTCCATGGCGACCGGGGGAAGAACGCGAGCTCCGGGTTTAAAATATGCTCTGCCTCCGGTTCTTGCCGCGGGCTGGGGAAGGGAGACAGGGACGGGGCTCGGGGGTGGCTCTGCATGGCGCTGGGGCATTCCCAGAGGAGCCAGCTGTGCCTCAGGATGCCCAGATGTGACAACAAAGGTGCCCAGGGGTGATTTGTGGACTGGAGAGGTAACAGGGAGCAGGTTTGGGGTTTTGCTGCCCATCCTGGCAGCAGCTGGGAGAGATCCCAGCCCTTGCCCAGCCCTACCTGAGTGCTGGAAGGCCGAGCCTCGGTGGCCGGGGTCCTTCTGGAGCTGGATCTCCTTCAGGGAGAAGATGGAGGCATCTGGGCAGAGAGGGCACAGAGAAGGGTCAGTCCTGTCCCAGGGTGGCACCTCCACGGAGCTCTTCCCTCAGCCTGCCACCCCATCTCATCCCACCCCAATGATTATTAATTATTATTATTAGATTATTTATTATTCCTCACTCCCACAGCCATCACCTCCTGCCCCACCCTGCTGCAGAAGGGAGCAGAGAGGTGCCTGAACCCCTTTTCCACCCCTTTTCCACCCCTTTTCCACCCCTTTTCGAGGGCCCGGGCAGCACTTACTGTCAGGCAGGAGGTGCACGCGCTCCCCCAGGCTCTTGAAGTAGGGGTGCTGCAGGGCTGCCTCGGCTGAGATCCGGCCCTTGGCCCTGTACTGCACAAAGCCCCGAGAAAAGCCGTCAATGCTCATTTCCACCACACGCCTGGGCACCTTTGCACATTTATACCACACATCTGGGCATCCCTGCACACTTACACCACACATCTGGGCACCCCTGCACACCTACACCACACACGTGGGCATCCCTGCACACCTACACCACACATCTGGGCACCTTTGTACATTTACACCACACACCTGGGCACCCCTGTACACCTACACCACACATCTGGGCACCTCTCTACATTTTCACCACACACCTGGGCACTTTTGTACATTTAACTCACACATCTGGGCACCCCTGTATACCTACACCACACACCTGGGCACCCCTGCACGTTTATATCACACACCTGGGCACCTCTCTACACTTACACCACACACCTGGGCACGTCTCTACATTCACCTCACACATCTGGGCACCCCTGCACATTCACCTCACACATCTGGGCACCCCTGCCCATCCACCTCCCACACCTGGGCACCTCTCTACATTCACCTCACACACCTGGGCACGTCTCTACATTCACCTCACACATCTGGGCACCTTTGCACATTCACCTCACACACCTGGGCACCTCGCTACACTTGTCTCACACATCTGGGCACCCCTGCCCATCCCGGCCGTGCCCCCCACCCACCTCGTGGCACTGCCCTGCCCCAGGTGCCCCTTCCCTGCCCCAGAGCCCCTCTGCCCCCGCCCCCGGCTGCCCCCGCGCTCACCAGGAGGAGATCTGCCAGCAGGTCGATGCCCTCCGAGTCCAGCCTGGGGGAGAGGGGAAATTAAACCAAAACTGCCCCGAGGCTGCTCCAACAACCCCAGCGAGGGACGAGGGGCACCACGAGCAGCAAATGAGCCTGGGCTGCCCAGGCTGCCCTCTCCACCCCTCAAACTCCCCAGTCCTCGACCGTCCCTGCTCCTGGGGTACCTCGGGGCGTGATTTATCAGCGGCTGGGCTCGGTACTGGGTGAAGTTGTAAGCCTTGAACTCCTCGTTGGACGTTATGCCAGGCCAGGTGTCCTCTGTGGGGGTTCCTGTGAGGGGAGAGGGGACCTGCCATGGGCACTGGGTGGGATGGAAACGCGGCAGGAGGGATGGAAATGCAGCAGGAAGGATGGAAATGCGGCAGGAGAGAGGGGCCCTGCCCCTGGCAGAGGGCACCCATGTCCCCAGGGGGGAAAGGAGCCTCTCATCCTTGCCCCTGTGCCAGCCTGGAGGGGACTGCAGGCAGCTTCTGTCCGTGCCAGCTGAGCCCTGCCCACCCCAGCCATGTGTGCCCACCTCTGCCCACCCCATTCCATCCTCCTTCCTTCCTCTGACCCCAGTCCACCCCATCCCACCCCTGTTCCCTCCTTCCCACCCCATCCCTCCTCATCCCACTCCACCCCATCCCTGTTCCCTCCTTCCCACCTCATCTCACCCCATCCTTGTTCATCCCATCCTACCTCATCCCTGTTCGTTCCTGTCCACCCCATCCCATCCCACAGATCCCATCCCATCCTATCCTATCTCAGCCCACCCCAGCCTATTCCTGTTCATTCCTGTCTACCTCATCCCACCCATCCCACAGATCCCATCCCACCCCACCCCATCCCACAGATCCCATCCCATCCCATCCCATCCCACCCCCTTCCCAGTCTAACCCATCTCTTTTCCCACCTTCCTACCACATCCCACCTCTTCCTTGTTCATCCCTGTTCATCCCATGGATCCCATCCCATCCCATCCCATCCCATCCCATCCCATCCCATCCCATCCCATCCCATCCCATCCCATCCCATCCCATCCCATCCCA